CTTGCCCTGCTGTCCTTATAAGGTAACACAAGCCAGGCAGAACCAGGAGCTCACCCTAGCCCCTTATGACCCCATCATAGGTAATTTCATCATAATAATGCCACTTCTGCAAGGTATGGAGTTTTGAACCTACACATGTCTCTGAGGAATATGATTCAACCCATAACACTCCCTGGTCCTACCTATTTGAGAGTTTGTAGCGATAGGTGTTGACTTTGGTTGTATAATTATTCTACGTCAATCCATACCATCATATTGTCTTTCTCGGCTTGTCCATAAAGTGCCTGATGTAGAAATATTTGTATCTATATTCACAATGGACTTGGGTCTGTCGGTTTTGGGTTTCTTTCATGGTTTTATTCTGGCACCATCTTTTCTAGTTTCATGGCCCCATAAAACCTGCTTCATGAAATACATTGTGAATTGTTCCCCATTCTTCTACTTCCTGGAAATCTTTGTATACAGTTGGTATTAATGCTTCTTCCAATGTGGTAGAATTCTCCAGTGATATCATGTACACCTGAAGATCTTTTAGGAGCTCTTCCTATGAGGAACTTAATTTCCCTGATGGCCACCCAGCCATCTAAATGTCCATGTTCTTATGGTAACTCCTGCTTCTCCAGAATCGTCCATTTCATTCACATTGTACAGGTTTGTAGAGTGTCACTGATATTAGTCTTCATGTTTATTTTTTTTCTCCTTGTGCTGGTTTTGGGTTTATTTTGATCATCATTTTCTGTTTCTGAAAGTAGAAGTTTAGATTATGGATTTGAGAACTTTCTATTTGTCTAACATAAGCATTTGATGCTATGAATCTCTAAGCAATGTTTTCATTGCATGCACAAACTTTGATATGATGTATTTTAATTTTTGTTCAGCTCCAGATATGTTCTCAGTTTTTCCTTTCAATGGTCAAAACATATCTTAAAGAGCTCAAAAGGAGAAAAATAACATCTTCTATTTACCCACATATTTGTTATTTGTTTTTTATTTTTCTCTTTATCCCTGATGCCCAAGTTCCTTCCAGCATCATTTTCTGTCTGTCTGAAGAACCACCAGTTATTTTTGTTAACAAGTCAGCTGGCTCTTAGCTTTGTTTTATATGAAGATATAATTATTTTTCCTTCCTTTCTGAAGATATATGAGATTTTGGTTTCCCTATGTTTTTCCTTTGTTAAAAGATGTTGCTTTGCTGCCTTCTGTCTTACCTAATTTCTGATAAGAATTCCACAGTCCTTTAAATGGTTCCATGTTTGCCAATACGGTATTGTTTTCTTCTGGTTGACTTCAAGTGTTTTCCTTAATCCCTGGTTTGTAAGTGATCCACGTGTCCGGGCATGGACTTTGGGTTTCTCCTACCAAAGTTTGCTAAGCTGGTTAAGTCTGTAGATTCATGTATTTCACCACATTTGGAAAATCAAGTCCTAATTGCTTTCTGTGGCATACTCTATCCTCTCATTTTGGATCCCTGATGACATTAACCCTAGACCATCTCCTAGTTCCTGAAGCTGTATTCATTAAAAATCAACAAACTTTCTTCTCTCCATTGTTTGCTTGGAGCAAACACTGTGGATCCATCTTCAGGTTCACTTCCATGGGGCTTCCCAGCACCCTACGCATGGTGGCCCTCAGGGCCGCCGTCTTGCTCTTACTGATCACTGAGACCTGCTTCTGTTCAGAGTCTGTGAAGATGTTTGTCACTTCTGGCTTTCTGGAATGCTACCCATAAACTCCTCTGAGTTGTGGAGTCGCGCTGACCCAAACATCCATCCCACTCTCCCTACAACTGACCTGAGGGTTTCTAACTCTTTATTTGGGCTCACTCCACTTTACAAACTTCAGTGTCCCTAGAACCCAAAGAAAAGAGCAATTCCACATGGGTGCACTTGGCTATGATGTCAGTAGCAACCCTGAGATGGTTTAACATCTCCAGTTCCTGAAGCCCATGTGCTCGCTCCCTAGGACCTCTAGCAGGATCCAAGTACAGAGGCTACATGGCATGTGATGAAGCACCCAGCCACTGCTGCAGGCAGGCCCACCTCTGCCCACTAGGCCCCCTCTCACTTCCCTGAACATGGGATTATGGGGATGATGCTACAGAACACTCTGGAATCTCCAATGCCTTTCCAGAGGTGTTTTCTCCAACAGCTACCACCCAGCCTCTCCACACACCTCAGGGAGGGGCCTAAAGACTGGGAAAGGGATACTTTCTGGCCAAAGCAATCTGCCCAAATGGAATCAAGTCTACAATGGCTCAAGGGGAGAATCTCTGCCTACACATGGTCAAGGAGAGCGAGTCCTCACCTGCATTGGCTCTAGGCAAGTGAGTCCCCATCTAAACTGGCTCAAGGTGCACGAGTATCAACCCTGAACAGGCACAGTGGCCCAGGACTTGGTCTGAGGTCTTGCCCTTCCCCAGAGGCCTCCCTCTTTGTTTTTGTTTTTGTTTTTTTCTCTCCATCTTGTTTTAAACATGACCTCTTTTATTTATTATTAATCTTTGGAATATCAATTTTATCTCATAATTTGTGGGAATAGAAGTTTATTCAAAACCATCTCTGCTATCCCAGAGAAGAGCAGGGCAGGGGGAAGAAATGGAGGCATTCCCACGTGCCTGGGTCCCTTCCTGCTGCTGTAACAAAGCTTCTTAGACTGGGTAATTTATTAACAATAGAAATCCACTTCCCACCCTTCTGGAGACTGGCAAGTCCAAGGTCAAGTGTCTGGTTGCTGTAACCTCACATGACGGCCTCCAGCTACCCTGGTTCACTGACACATATGGGCATCTCCAGGTCCTCAGGAAAACTGCCAGGCCTCGCAGCCTTCAGATTGCTAGCACTTCACACTCTCTCATTCTCATTTTTTCTCAAATTTGACTTTGTATGGGGCACTGTATCCATTCTACCCTAAGGAGCAGCTACAAAGGCTTCAGGCAAACTTTACCTTCTTTAGTCATCCTGGGGCCGGGGGAGTCAGAAATTCAGAGCCACAGTGGATCAGGCCCTCTTCAGCCTCAGGAAGTTAGGATTACGTCAGCTTTCCCATCACCCTCCTGCCCAGGAGAGAGCCACTGATGTGCCTGTCCCTTTCTGAAGGAGTACTCAGGGTCACAGCCCAGCCTTTAACAGGTTCAGCTTCCTTCCGGGGAGTCAGGTCCAGAGACACCTAAACCTCCCACAGGCAGAGAAACAGGGAAATGGATCAAACCCTCTAGTTTCTCAAAGCAAGAGGCAAGTTCCCTTTCATACATGGGTGAAAATATCAGGCCCTGAGCTCAGAAGGCCAGGAGGCCACAGCTCACTCACTTATGACACTGGTCATCAGGAAGATGATGCTTGGGTCAGAGGGGCCTCTGGGCCCTGCTGTCCAAGTGCTTGTTATTTCTCTTTAGAGACCTGCCCCTAAGGACACAAAGGAACTGATCATCTCTGTACACCATTCCCAAGTCACTTCTTGTGTGTTTTCCGTCTCCGCAAATAGACATGAGTGATCTGAAGACAGGCAATCAAAAGGATATTTATCTTCAATGAGCATCTCCTCTCAAATGCTCATTTTGGCTCATATGTACCAAATCCTGTGGTATTTAGTCCCAACACATCTTGTCAGTCAGCTTTACATTGCTATGATAAAATACCTGAAATAAATAACGTAAAAAGGGAGGAAAGATGTATTTTGGCTCATGGCTTCAGAGTTTGACCCTGTTGCTTTGGGCCTGTGGCAAGGCACCACAGCCTGGTGGGAGCCAGTGGTGGATCAAAGCTATCACCTCATGTGGGCCAGGAAGCAAAGAAAGGGAGAGGGCAAAGGGACTGAGGTTCCAACCTCCCCTTTAAATGCACATACCCAGTGACCTAATTTTCTCTCACTAGGTCCCACCTCCTAAAAGTTTTACCATGTCCAATAGTATAACCTGCTGAGGACCAAACCTATCACTCATGGCCTTTGGGGTGCATTTATGATCCAAACCATAACATCCTTTGGAGAAATCATTTGCTACATGATTGTGTTAGTTTGTGTGTGTGTGTGTGTGTGTGTGTGTGTGTGTATGAGAGAGAGAGAGAGAGACTGCAATGGATTTTTTTTTTCAACAAAGAAACACCGAGGTCTTGGGTAAGCTACTAATGATCTTTATACCTTAGTTTCCTCTTTTGAGAGAATTAAATGAGATACTGTGTATATATTGGTTAGGACTAGGTTTGTCTAGGACAGAAAACCCCCTACAGCAATATAGAGATTTAGTGTCATGTGGTAGTCTCCAGGGTGCTGGGAGACTAGGATACCTGTCTTGCTTTTCTTCTTTCTGCTGATTCTTTTTAGCAGCTATACATACCACTTCTACTTATGTCCCATTGGTCAAAAACATGCCAGGGTATGTTCTCCACTGGATTTGACCATGTGCCCTGCTGAAATCGGGGTGTCTCTTGCTGAGGAAGAAAAGGAAGATGGTGCTGCACAGATAGCTCAGTGGTGGAGAGTTGCGTAGCATATGCAATGCCCTGGGTTCAATCCCCAGAACCACACACACACAAAAGAGGACAGATATTGGGGGTCAGCTAGTAGTCTGTCATAGTGCGTCAAGCATGGTGACTAGTGTCTGGCATGCAGTCTGTGCTTACTGTAGTGCTGTTGTTATAAACAAATACACAGTATTTTCTGGAAATCCTATAACCACACTATCAAACACTGGGACCTTTTTTCCCTAACATGGATGTATCTTTCATTTCTTTTTGGCACATGTCCCCATGCCGAGCACACACCAGGGCACTTCACAGTTCTAGGCTGCATGTTGGGGGTTCTAAGAGCAGAGCAGGGATTTTTCTGGGTTTCTCCAGGTGAAGCCCTTGGAGTGAGTGCTGGGGTCAGGGGTGAGAGGTCAGAGCATTTCAGTGCAGCTCTGCAGGTGACCACAGGGTCCTGCCATGACCCCATTCCTTGCATCAAAGAAAGATATCAAAATTTGAAGTGCAAAAGGATCAAACGTGGCTTATTCCTCTCCCTAGGTTCTCAGAGACGGAGGCTCATCCCAGCATTGTCCCTCGATACCTCCTCCCCTGTGAGAAAACCCACCACCAGCACAGGGGTCCGCTGGGTGGATGGCCCCTTGCGGAGCACCCAGAGGGGCCTCGGGGAACCCTTTGAGATCAAGGTCTATGAAATCGACGATGTGGAGCGCCTGCAGCGGCGACGTGGTGGCGCCAGCAAGGTGAGTCCATTTCCTGGAGTGGGGGCGGTTACCCATGGGTCCTGCCCTGAGAAGGGACCTGCTTCTGTTGTGGGCAGGTGGGTGACAGTGGGCCCATAAAGTGGGATAGACACTTTGGAGGGAACTCTGTGTCCTCTCCTGAAATGCCTTAATGCTGGGGGACACAGTGGTCTGGGGGGCTTTTCTGGCTCCTTGTCTTGAGGTTTCATACTCATGCAGACCAGCATTTGCCCAGTTGGAACACCATCTGCTTTCTACATTTAAGAACAGCCTGCGACAGTCTCCCCCATGGCTGAGCTGTCTGGTTTATCAAGGAAGAAATCCCACTGAGGTCTCTGAAGTCCCTCCCAGACTTCCCAGGGACCAGCTCCTTTCTCATGGACGGTCTTTAGAAGTGTTCCGCTCTAGAAGAGGTCATGTGGACTGGACAGGAGCAGAAGGATCTCTTTTCTTTTCTCTACACTGCCCCTCTCCTTCTCCGTCGCTGTGCAGGAGGTCATGTGCTTTAACGCAAAACTGAAAATTCTGGAGCATCGCCAGCAGAGGATCGCAGAGGTCAGAGCCAAGTACGAGTGGCTGATGAAGGAGCTGGAAATGACCAAACAGTACCTGATGCTGGACCCCAACAAGTGGCTCCGTGAATGTAAGGCCCATGGTTCATTTCTATCACGGTGGCTAACAGGTTCCCCAGTGACAGAGGCCTGGCACCTAACCCAGGGTGACCTCGGCACACTTCATCTAGGGGCAGATGGAGACGGTTGCTCTGAGTGAACAATCCTACTCTCCTGGGGCAGGTGGGAGGGGCTGGGAACAGCAAAGGAGCGGCGAATATTGCTCTTGCGAGATTATTTCTTATGTGTTTCAGTCCAAAGCACTTGAAAATGAGATTTTTTCCCCCCTGCATGTGGCAGATCACCCAGACATGAAGGCTGTATTACAAATTTCCTAGGCCACAAAATCACACTGCTTATCTAGCCTGAAATAGACATGAATTTATAGAGCTCTTGATAGGGTAGAATGTACGACCATAGTAAAGCCTCACGGAGGACCCAGAAAGCAAGAGGAGCAGCCTGGTGTTATTTCCATTTAATAGAAAGCCCCAGATGACAGTAACCATCTAATAATGATTCAGAGCAATTTTGTTCTCTTTGAGAGGCGGATTCAATTGTCTCTTATTTATTTGTTCCTAACCATTCCATTTAGTGCGAAATAAAACTTAAATCTGGTCCCAACTACTACATTGATGTGGGAAGCAATCCCACAATCTGGGGGATAAAATATGCTACTGTCATTAAAATTCTCTCCCTGTTTCCCATCTGGCTCTTTTCTCCAGCCCTCAGCTGCCTCTGTCCCCTCTCAACACACCCCTCCCCTGCATGTCCCCCTCTCCCAGTGTTCCATGGCAGCGAGGAGAGCCCACGAGTGAGGTCTGAGGCTTAGATTTGTGTGCCAGAGAAGCTGGTTTTTTTAAATATCGGGTAAAATGATTCTGGGTGAAAAAGAAAGTGCCAAGGTTTGTCAGATGCCCGGCTCTTCCCAGCGCCTGCCACTTGTGACAGGTTTCTTTTCCATATAAATGGAGTAGTACCATGTCCCCCGAGTACCTCAGTGGGTTCTCGTGACCATCCAATACAGAGAGCATCCTTTGCTTTGGGGATGCAGCATCTGTGGCTAGGCCCACAGTCCCACAAATACAGCCTGTGCCTGCAGACACGATACGGGAAATGAAATCCTCTATTAGAAATGTTCTTCCTTCAAAGGTATTTTTATCAAAGGTATTATGGGGCAGACAAGACAGAACATTAGCTAATGTCTGACCAGGGCACAAACATGGAGCCTAGTGCTTATTTCTCTCCCACCTGTGGCTGCCTTTTCTTTTTTTTTTTTTTCCCCCATGAATCTCTGGACACTTTGAGATCCCAGGGCATCCCTTCAGACAGTTCCTTCATTTTTTTTAAAATATTTTTTTAGTTGTAGTTGGACACAATGTCTTTATTTATTTTTATGTGGTGCTAAGGATCGAACCCAGGGCCTCGCGCATGCTAGACGAGCGCTCCACCCCTGACCCACAACCCCAGCCCCCACAGTCCCTTCATTTTTAACATTTTCATTAACATTTTATTTTTTAAGAGCTGTTTATGCCCAAGGCAGGCTTGAAAATGATCCTCGTCTTACAAAGCACATTTTTCTCCCAGGAAGGGAGCAGGCTTACACCTCAGTACACCTGTGTTTCAGATGCTTCCAAGAAACATCTGAAGACATTCATTCTTGCCTTCGTATATGTCAAGAATCAGGTATTTTTGATGCTAAGAAAGAGAATGAACAGAAGGCCACATGAAAGGAGAAGCACAGATTGTTTTTCTAAGATGAGTGGAAAATAAGAATGGGGGAAAAATAAAAAACTATGGAGGCTGCATGCTGACTATTCCTGTTGGTGGCCAGCAGGGTTTGGCACAGAAATAGATGTGCTGGGTCCATTTTTATTTTTAATTTTTAGATCTGATGCTGCTTTTGAGGTGGTCCAGTGATGAGGTCTGAGGGGGTTATGGTGTAGTGAGGTATTGTTTCTTCAGTATTAGACGGGCATTCAGCCTGTTAGACTGGGTCTCCCTCCAGCTGTGGTCCTTATTAACTGTAACCTTGAGTGAGTGTCCTCACAGTCTCGCTCTCAGGGATGCCCTCTGTATAAAGCAGTCTGCTTCCGTTACAGTCCCTGATGGTTCTGTAGCATGACATGGTTTTCATATGTTTTCAGACCATGTTCACATTCGTTATCTCCTTTTTGATTTTATTCTTCTCAACAACTCAAGGTAGATAGGATAGGCAGGGTAGGAATTATTATGCTCATGTTCCTTTTAAGGACATGGCACCTGCAGAAGTTAAGGTCACAGAGCTAGTATGGAGCAGCTGGGAATCAAATGCAAGTCTCCTGCTTTGGATTCCACGGCCACTCCACCAGCCTTGGTTGCCGTCCCTGCTGTCCTCCCCATATGGGGACTCCTTGCAGCACCTCTGGAGCTAGTACCAGGCAGCCCACCCCTCTGCCCATCCACCATGGATATAGTAGGCAAACTGAGTCCAGGTGAGGTTGATCGCAGACACCTGCTCTTCAGAAACTGCAGGACTCAAACTTTTCACCCCCTGTAGGCCTGAGCGTCAGGCAAGGCATCATCCTGCTCCTAAGTGTCAGCTTATCTTCTGAGCTTAAGGAAGCTCACCTATCAATTTAGATCTATTTATCATATTTCCTGAATGATCATCAAGTTCATGAGACTGCCTAGGAAGACCGGAGACAGGTCAGGTTTCTCAGCCCGAGAGGTGGATACAAAGTGCTCATGAAGGAATATAAGGGAGAAACAGCCTTTATCTAAGGAGGCAGAGGGATTTGCCACTTTAGATCACAAGGGAGGGATTTGCCCCACACCAGCATCAAGATCTGCATTCTTCATGGTTAATGAAGAATAATGGCGTCATCTTTCACAGATGCTGTGGTGGAGATGGCCAGAGATGGGGGCAGCTAGATTTTTGCCTTATTTCTCAGAATAATCTCAACAAAATGTTAAAAGATCTAAAAACCGGTAACCAGTGTTTCAGTCCACTGGCTGAGAGGCCAAGGATTAGGTAGGAGGGATACCAAGGCCACTAGAGACAGGTGAAGAAATCAGATCTGGGGACAGAGGGGAAATTCAGGCAGCCCTGTGGTCTGGGCTGAGCAGATGGGATGGCTCTTCCCGCCTGCCGGAGTCTCCAGGCCCTTCCTCTTTTGCAGTCGACTTGGAGCAGGTGCTGGAGCTGGATTCCCTGGAGTACCTGGAGGCCCTGGAGTGTGTCACCGAGCGCCTGGAGAGCCGCGTCAACTTCTGCAAGGCCCATCTCATGATGATCACCTGCTTTGACATCACCTCCAGGCGCCGATAAGGAGCGGCAGATCCCTGGTCCACCAGTCCCCTTACTCCCCAGGGGGACGTCACCCTCCCCCAGGCCCTCTGTGCTGGCGGCACCCCAAAGACTATAGAATGAGGATGAAGGTTGGTGGCAAGTCTGGAGGCAGCGTTGAGCGGAAGGCGAGTTTTCTTTTGTTTTCTGAAGTAGGGAAGGTGCAAACCCGAACACGTGGAAGGAGAGAATGATGGGAAGCCCAAGGGACGTCAGAGCCCCGTGAGACTGAAATAAAAGCACTTTGAGGAACTTAACTTGTTTGTACATAAGAACTGCTGGCAAAGAGACCTCTCTCTTGTCGTGCTTTCGTGAGGGGGAGGGTGGACGGAGGATTGCTGTGGAAAGCGAAAACAAAACACCCACGACAAGATGACCCAGGATGACGGATTAAGTGCCTTGCAAATCTTTATGATTACCCAAACATTTGTGTTCAACTCTTCTCGTGTACAGATGGTGCTAGTCAAGACGCAAACAACAAAACCCACAGAAGAGAAAATCCCACGCGTTTTTGAAATGTACTCATGGCTCGTTTTTCTCTTGGTGTTTTATCCTATTTCTGACTTGCTGTTTGTAAGTAAGTTGTGTTTGTAGAGCTATTTCCTAACCAGTATTGCATATGAATAAATGTTAACTGTCTTATATGATGATTCTGGTAAGGCCACTCGAACAGAACAGAGAGACTTTCATCCACACAAGCAAATGTGTGTTTCCAAAAAAAAAGGTTTGGAAAGGCAGGTGGTGCTCAGTGCCTCCTCCCACAAGCAGCAGGTCGGCCAGCAGACCCAGAGGGCGGCTGATCGTGGAGCAGCATGAGTGAACTTGAGCCATCAGGAGAGGAGACAGGGCTTGCATCTCTAAGGGAGAAGTTGTCCTTTGTGACCTGGGCCAGACTTCTCCATGTAGGTAGGCGTTTGTTCCATATCTAGCCCCCCATCCTCGTCCTTTCCCCACCCATCCAGGGTTTTTATGATCCTCAAAACAAATTCATGCTCATTTCTATTCCAAAGACTCTGGATCGAAAGCTTGAATCAATTCAGCAGAGCCATATTTGTTTGTTTTTGAGTTTTGTGGATTTATTGAAGTGGTAGTTTGGGGGCCGGGGAGAGGGGTGGTGACTTTGAGTTGAGAGGCTTCTTCTGCTGGTACGTGCTCCAATCACATTGGTGTAGAACGAGAAGGAGACTAGGGAGTACACAGCTTTTTCTGTTATCCAGAGTCCTGCCCAAGAGCAAGAAGTTCAGTTCTTCCCTGTCCCGAAGCCTACATACATACCACCTAGGGACTAGGCTTGTTTCCTAAAGCTTGGCACCCAAAGGCAGAGAGACGTTCCTCCTCCCTAAATCCCATAACTATGGACAGGCAGAGTAGAGTTGAATGAATATGAATATCCAGGTCTTGGCTCCCAAAACCTCATTCTCAAATTGCAAAAGTTCCCCTCAGGATTAGTATACCTGTGTTAGGGACAAAAACTTGAGGCACAGAACTGCCAAGGGCATTGAGGTACTGAGAACTGTTCATCTTTGCCCTCAAATGCAGCTGAGCTTCAGAGCCTCTTTCCAGGCTAGTTGTCCCCACTAACCAATTTCTCAGCCCAAGCTCCCCGCCATGGAAAATTAGCCTTTGCATTTGTTGGTAGCCCAACCCAGCTGTCTCACCAGCCAGTGGGGCTCAGCTAGGTTCTAAACAGGAACTGAAGTCTTATGAGCATCAGAGCACCTGACTTGTAACTCATCAGAACAGGGCACAGAAGACCCATTAGCTCTCTTGCTTTGGAAGTCAGCCCCATGGACTGACTCCATGGGTCACGAGTCCAGCTTTGTACACTCTGTAAAGAGTCTGCTTCTATGCAAATGTACCCACATAAGATCTGCCTGGATATGCTAGTTGAATGGACTAAAATTTGGTAAAAGGGGTCATTTTCCTCTTTGTGCATCCTACAAGTTAAACAAGTATGTTACCTTAGAAGTAGAGCCTCCCCTAACTCTTCAACCCAAACCCATTCTGCAGAGTTCTGGGACTCTGAGCCCATCTCTGGCCTCGCAGTACTTGCATACATTGGCTTGCTTAACAACAACATTCTTGGAAGCATATGGACCCCAGGGGATGCCAGTGCTTTGAGTTGGTTTGTTTGTCCTTTGGTATCCCTTTGGGTTGCTAGTTTGAAATACACCACTTCATGAAAAGCCTTTCTTTGAGGAATTTTCAAAGGTGAGTATGCCTTGTTTTTCGTTTGTGAACAAATACATCTGATAAGTCATCAGTGAGCTTGGCTTTTGCCACTGCCACATTCTCCCTTAGCCCTGAGGTCCTCATGCTGCGGTGACTTCCTTTAGAAGGTCACTGACAGAGCCTGGTGCCTTCACTGGAGTGAGACCAAGCAGAACAGTGAATTCTCTCCTAGGGAGTGGCCTTCAGCTTGCTTCCTGCCTAAATGTGTTTATATACATTTTTAACAACTTCATGATATAACAAAAGGTTGATATTACCCACAGTGATCTTACCAAGTCAGATTGACTTCCCAAGAGATCCCATCATGGAACATCCCCAGGATCTCGCAGGCCATGGTACAGGAGAACAACTGCCTGGGAATTGTTGTCCATTCTCTTTCTTTCTTTCTTTTTTTTTTTTCTTTTCTTTATTTCTTGTCTTATTTACTTACTTAACTGCAAACATTTTATTTTACCAAGAGTTGATAAACCATGTGAAGAAGTCATGCATTTGACATTATGATGAGCTTGTTCCTGGCTCTATGAATTGACGATACAGATGATGATCTTTGAGCATAAGAAAGAAGGTACTATATCCAAAGCAGCCCCAGTAACCAAAGGATGTCATTTAGGGTCCAGATGGGAGATGGTTCCAGGTCTCCTTTTGGTTTTAGTGACACAGAGCCCAAGAAGGCCAAGGGAACACCCGAGAACTGATTTCTATTTCATTATACACAAATGAAATGTCTCTTTGAAAGTCATACCTTACTCAATTCCTTGTCTGAAACTTATCCCACCAACTCCTGCTCCAAATAGTTTAGTGTGAAGTAGAAACATTGCCAGCAAAACAAAACTGAGATTCAAGAAAGGGAAATAGAGATCATTTCCCCTGGAGTAGATCCACATTGCATTTCACGATGGTGTTTTATGCTGCAAGGGAGCCATAGTTTGCTTTATCCTGGGCTTTCAAATCCCGACCTGAGAGCTGGAACCTTTGATCTTCTTGTCCTTGAATTCCTCTTGACATCATGAGAAACTGTCTCTCACTTTCATCTCTTCCAGATCTGAAACAGCACACCTCCTTGTTGTTTTATCTGCAATTGCTATTCTGAACATGGGGAACTTCAGATGCAAATGCAGAGAAGAGTCTGTGAACTCAAACAAGGATCCCAAGCAGGGAAGGGACTCCGACTGAGATTTTTAAAAAAGTATCTCACACACACACACACACACACACGCACACAGCCAAAGGAGCTCAGCTAGGTTCTAAATAGGAACTGAAGTCTTGTGAGCATCAGAGAACCTGACTTGTAACTCATCAAAACAGGGCACAGAAGACCCATTAGCTCACACACACACACACACACACACAAAAAAAAAAAAAAAATGGGCGTTTGGCAGGCAGGAATTTGGCCCAGTTTGTCATGAAGTAGCCTAAAGCTGGAAGTCTGATCACAGACACTTATTCCATCCACAGGGGTGGTTCCCAAAAAAAGTCTTTTTATACACACATCCAAGTCTTGTGCTTGCTCTAAAGATTTTCATTCCATGATTGGAGTTGAAGAAGAAGGGAATTTGTGCCCACTTGGGTATGTATCTCGTGTCCTTATAAACTAGCCACCTTCTTTAGGCTTCAAATTCTAACACTCATCATTAATTTGGGTTCATCCACAAGCCTTCATCACAGATGTGTCTATTTGAAATCATCCACCTGACCTTGACTTTTTGGGATAGAAGGCAGGTCTGGCAAGGGCCCACAATTTGTTCAAAGCAAACACAGTTGCTGATGTCACTGGCAACTGCTGATCTATACTCAAGCCTTCCAAAATAATGATGTAATGAATGTTTTTAGGTTCTTTATTCCAACAAGAATTTCAGCTAAAAATTTAGAGATTAATTCATTCTGAAATCGAATAAGATTCATGAATTTAGTCGTTCTTCCCTGCTGGAACATCATTAGCCCACTTTTTGAGCATATGCAAAAATATCTCCTCTCTTTTCAAGGCAATATATATCTTAAACCCTGCAACCAGGCCAGTCAGAAACAGGCTGGAAGTCCTGTGTGCTATTAGTTGTTGCTATCTAAACCACTCCATTCCATTGTTCCTGGGCTCACTGCCTCTGCCTGGACAGTGTGGCCCTGCTTTCCACAATGCAAGGGACACTCTATAGGGCCACCACATGTGAGACTTCCAAGCAGGGAGAAAAAGAACAGTTCAGGCTGCTTTACTCTAGGTGACAAAGCCAGGCATTCAGCTTCACTGAAACTGCCAGTCTAAAATTGGTTTGGCCATGTGGTGGGAATACAGCCGACATTCTTTGGATCTTAGTATCTCTTTCTTATCCTCCAAAATGTGTCACAATTTGTGGGTTAAATCTTATAAATTGTGTCACTTAGCAATCTTCCTGACAAAATGACATATTTCTAAAACAAAAACTGTTTCTTATTTCTGCAATAATAAAAGCAGAACTCCAATCCAGGAGAAGCTATTAAAACTTAAGCTTCTCATCTCAAAAAAGTATTTTGATTTTTGTGGGTTTTTTTTTTTTCAAATTTTAAATCCCAAGAGCGAATTCTCCCATCCCTAAACAAGCACATTCTGCTTTTGGGTGGCCCTACTCAGAACCTGAGGTATGGTCATGACATTGGACACAAACTAGTGCTTGAGGCAGTATCACATCAACATTGCATCTTATTGATATTCTCTGAATACAGTTGTTCCCTGTGTGTAGAGGTGACACAGATACTGGTGCTCACACATCTATTTTATGTATCACACAGAAGTTACCTTCAAAACTGGCAGAATCAGGCTGGGATCATAGCTCTGTGGTAGAGCGTTTGCGTAGCATGTATGAGGCACTTGGTTTGATTCTTAGCACCATATATAAATAAAATAAACGTCCACCTACAACTAAGAAAAAAATCTATTTAAAAAAGAAAACTAGCAGAGTCTTCATCTCTAACATCCCACATTGTCGTACCTAATTTATGAAGAGTTATGATTTATTTGTAAACTCAGGATGTTGTTTTATAACCCTGCTTGTGTTTTAGAATTTCTTTATACATCATGGTTGGAAATGGTCTCCCTTGCTATGGCATTGAAATGTAAGCCTGGTGGATATGTCTGTGACCATGTGGTTTTTTTGTGCTTTTGTTTTCGTTTTTCTGCTTTTCTCCCTAGCAAAATCTGTCAGCAGAGACATGAGCGGGGATCGGGGGAGATAAATAAATCAAGAGAACAGGGATTAGGGTCCAGTCCTCAGAGTACAGGGCTTAATTCAAAATCTCAGCTGTTTCTATAGTAAGTAACCAAAGGGGAAAGGATCCTTCCTTTTGACTTGGATGATAATGAGCTTAGAAATCAGCTTCCACGGGCCTGGGTGGAAGAGGATTCAGCTTCTCTTACTGGTTCAACATCAAATTCCTGAGAAAA